AAGTGAAAGACGTATACTCTGAACAATGTCTGCATTGTTCTTGAAGATTAATGGCTCTTAAAAGGGAAAAAATCTGTTATTTGTGTAACTGAATATAAAGAACAGCTTTTCTACCATTTGCTCCAAGATACCTTTGCTCTCTAAGCTATACTGATTATGCTTTTAAAAGGTTTTGACAAGACAGTTTTTTTTCATTTTTTTCTTTTTCACAAAAGAAAAAAGGTCTTCAATCATGATTTGCCCTATCCAATTCCCTACAAAGATTAAGAGATGTCTCCCTTCAGAGAAGGCACCACACACAGGTGGAAAAGACAGTTCAGGGTATTTGAACTACCTTCATTATATCCTCACTTGGAATCCTTCTTCCTCCTCCTCGTCTTAGCTGAGTATTAAGACAAAGAAATATACAAAGGCAGCGAATACAAACCACAAGCAAGTTTTATTTTTGGGGAGCTCATGAAGTTTTTTTTCCTATACTCTCTCTCATATGTTTCAGTTACCAATGTGATCTTTACTACTAGAACTTTATATTAACAGAAAACTTCATAAAAGTTTATAGTTCTTCCACACAGTGCCACCCAAATTCTTAGTGTCATATGCAGCATTCTTAATTCTGTATTCTTTCATCATGAGGGTTTCACAGATTTGAAGTTGTATTTTTTAATCTCACAATGATTTCTCCATTTTGCCCACATCTGATTTCTTTTATACGATCCTTTTATTTTGGGTTCTCCTCTTTCACTCCTGTTCCATTTTTTCCATTATTTTCTGTAACTCTTCTCCTTGACCGGTGAATGTGCATGTTTTGCGAACCATTTTCCAAATATCTGTTTATGAAATGGGGATTCAGAGCTGAGCCACACATTTCAGGCTTCTATTATGTTATCAACATGGTCCTCTCCAGGTTTTGAAAATACAAGGAGGCAAGTAATTAAAAAAGCAAAAAGATACCTCCAATTCATTATGGTTACAAATCCATCAGATCAGCTTTCAAAAATATTTAAGATTCACACTTCCTAACTAGAAACCTAAATCCATTAATAGCCTGTCAGGAACTTAAAAATCTTCTTAAATGTGGTTCATAGGGTTTTTGTACTGCAAAACCCACTGAAGTACATAACAAAAACCCTTATGTTATTAGCAGAGGTTTAAAAAAAAAGTAGTCGCCATCCAGAAGTTACTTGAGAAACAACCGGAATGCTGCCATGCAGAAAGTAGACATGTAAAGGAATTTAAAAAAATAGAAAAAAAAAAGGTGTGGTTTCCTAGAAAAAAAAACAACAATGTACAAAACAACAATGAAGGCCAACCCTAAACATCACTGATAAGGCTTGCATAAGGCAGCATTCTCACCATATTGCAGGCACATTCTTGGTTAAACCACTTTTTGTTCACAACTGCTAAGAATATTACTTTGAAAGAAACCTGATTTATAGTTTAGGTAGCTAGAGTTTAATTAAAGAAAATGCACTGTATTTGAAGACGTGAATTGTGGACTGAGATAACTAAGCTAGGAGGAAATAGGTTGCATCTACTTCTACGTCGCTAAGCACAGGGAACAGCAGCAGGTTCTGGTTATCAAACCGCTGGATCTAACAGGAAAGCAGTAGCATCTACAAGCCACGTTAGTACTTACATCCAAGCTTCCTTCACTTGTAGATGTAGAACTAAAAACATCCTCCTCACCATAATCTCTGTTCATCCTCAAGTGTTCTTCTGTCTGTAACACAAACAAGTATCCTACAGAGCAGTAGCAACAGAAAGAAAAAGCAAAAACATGCCAGAGCAAAGCACCAAGCCTGATCACAGAATGAGGATGAACTGCCCCTGTAGCGCTAGACTGATTGCTGATAAATACTGAAGGAGTCTGCAAAATTTCTCTGAGGTAGGGAAGCTCTTCAGAAATTCATTAGCAGGAATATAAAGAATTTTGTTCTTAATATTATGAAAACAGAACAACACTAAGGCAAGGAAAAGGAAAACAGGTAGCAAGCAGGCCCTGCAGTAACAGCAGCCATGTTGCCAGTCTCCACTATACCTACACAGACAAATAGAGGAGCAAGCAGAGAGCTTCTTCCTCCACACACGTCAAAAACAAGACTGCTTTTGCATCCTATCAGATATCCTTTCAAGATCCCACGATCATCTGCACAAAACCTCTGGACTACTGGATTGTTTAGCAGTGCCTATTTGATGTGGATGTAGCCTCAGGCACGTGACTATATTTCATATCAAAGGCATGGAATTCTGCCACCTTTATGTCTTTATGTCAGCTGCAAGAGAACAGAGGGTAACTGATCCAGAATAAAATTAGAATGGACTGAAGAAGGTGATACCTGATCTGGCACTAAGCCTGCAAGCCAAAAGTTAACCCACAAGATATTTTCAACCAATTTGTATCAACCATGAGAAAAGATCTGTTTCCATTCTTTGTGATGGTATTTTACATATAGTTGGAAAAAAAATAAACACAGAAGAAAAAAAGCTGTATCTAGTGCATTGTCATCCCATAATTACTGCCTTCAATGAGCTGAGAAAGCAAGAGTATGTGGGCACGGAAATCTGAGCGTGGGCCTGCAGAGTGGAATGACACCTGATCCAGGACATTTTGCAAGACAGGCTAATATCCTCTTCTTCCCTTGCAAACAAAGTCATCTTACCCGTAAATGACTGAAACCCCACAGCACGTCCAGTTCAAGACTTCAGACAATTCTTGCTATCAGCTAGTTCTAAAATAGAAACTACATATGACCGCATGCAGTGATCCTATATTTGTGTGTGTGCATGCAAATGATAATGCAAACAAAGAAAAAATAAATAAGCAGAACCAACCAAAGTCTTGCAAAGGACTGAAATTTTAACTGAGAAACAGTGAAAGCAACTTTGGAAAAGACATTCTGGGCCTTCACATGTCCTGTAACCACAGGACATCTAATTATACAATCCCTTCGAAAACCTATTAAGTTTGTCATAAAAGAAGTTAATGATTTGCCCCAATTCCGCCAACTAAGTATCTTCAGCAGTTTCAGCTGTAAATCTGCCATAACACTGAGTCACATCTATCATGGCCACTTAACATCTTTTTTCCTTTGTATGATACGCTATTCTTCAGTTTTCAGTAATTCTCCCATCTGTTTGGGTTCAAACTACTAGAGAACATACTAAAAATGTAACAATGATCTCCTTGCAGCTCTAAACAAAATGGTAGAGAAATCTCTCTTCTTCTACTCTTATATTGAAAACAAGAGTCCAATAGGGAAACCATTAGGAAAAATCAATTAACTTGTCAGAACTAGCAGCAAGACTTAAAGCTTCATCTCAGATTCTGAAACTTTTTCTTCATATTTGTTTCTGCACTTCCCACCATCTCTCAGAACAAAAATTACTTGCAGATTATTAATAGACTTTCAATATTTTTAACATCTATTAAAATATATGTTTTAAAAGCCTCAGGCTATGACCTCTTATTTTTTAACAGGTATGAAAAAGAGAGTTGGAAGAGAGGTGCGGTATAGAAGCATAATAAACTTGTAATCTTAGCTGTGAGAAACCCACTGCAGTAACCAGAGCACTGCCACGTTTCACAGCAACGTTTTCCAATGTTGCAAGTGCAATTATTTTACAAGCTAAATCTGATCTGCTTCTGGAATTACAACTCTGAGAGCACACATTTCATACTGAAGTTCAGTAACGTGGAAACAGATGGAGATTCATGATCCTTGAGGTCCCTTCCAATCCGGGTCATTCTGTGACCAACTACCATGCAGTAAACATGCTATGTTCAGTTCCTCCAGAGGAACTGCAGTGCCATGGTATGCCCTTGGAGTTCATGCTGAGCTTGCTTGTGAATTAGATTCTTCCAAGCAGATGCAGCATTATTGCTTAAGTTGTGCTTTTGTTCCCATACTAAATGGGAAATACTTGCTTATACAGGATAAAAACACCAAAACTTAGTTTCCCATAAGATATAGCTCTGCTGCGTACTTTAAACAACATTAAGAATAGCTCAGGATCCATGTCAGATCAGATATTTCAATATGGTAATTCCCAGTGTTGATATTGGAAGCCACTGCCTGGCAAAATAACTCCAAATTTGATCATAATGAAAAATGGTGAGAACTGAAAGATTCTGGAAAGCTTACACAGTTTTAGAAACAAGATTGGAACTGTAATATCAGTCCATCAACAAAGCAAATGTTACTTAGACCAGGTCATCCAATTCCACTGCAAAAGCCTTGGGTCTTTAACTCAGACAAAAGAAAATATGTTCTCTGCATATGCTCGAGTGAGACAATTTTCTGTATTTAATTTCTGTAATGAGAAGCGCATATTTTTCATAAAACATCAAGAAATTCTAAATCTCTAAAATACATAGAATGCATAAACACTACTTTCCAGTTTTCCCCTTACAAGGATACTGTTGCGTCTTCTATAACTGTTTAAAGTTATCTAGATTTAGCAACTGTAACAGTATCTTGAGCTTAGTTTAAGGAAGTTTTTTACATCCACTTTCCCTTCTGAAAGTTTAAAAATGCCTGACATGCACTGTAGCAGACACTGATCCTTGAGTGTATATTATTCCTTTTAGTACAGCAAGTTATTTTTGAGTCATCAGTCTTGCTGTTGCATTATTACCATCTGTAAGTCTGCACATACCTTATTGTGGATATACATGCTTTAAGACAGTGTCACACATGCACAGAAGAGTTAGAAACATCTAATGTGTTCTATATTACATCACTCCCTTCATAAATGTTTATTTTTTTTCCCCTTCAATCTATGCACTACTAAGTGGACTAAAAGGTAACAAGCTCAAATCTCCATCTGTATTGATTAACCACAGTTAACACATCTTCTGAAAAATGACTCCTTGGAAAAATAAAAAGAATCAACATTAATCAAAATCAACAATGACAAACAAACCCTAGTACTCACAGGCAAAATATACATGTAAAGAAATGGATTTTCTTTAGCAAAGCAATAAATTGATGAACACTTACCTTGCTGTTGCTTCTGTTAGCTTTGAAAAATCCCAGAAATCCTTTCTTTTCTTTCTCTATTGCATCATTGCTTAGTGAAACACTTCGACTTGGCTCTGAAATAATTATAATAGAATATTTTTACATTTCTGAAACAATTATCAGTATTTTAACACATCCAGGGTTAATGCTGTACTTTTATGAGTTAGAGATTTTATGAACTGCATTATCTGAGTAAATGCCAGATCCTGCACTTTATTTTTCATCAGACAATCCCTTGCTCTGAGTTTGTTCCAAAATCTAGAGAAGGGAATTGGAATAATGTCATAAATTTTGGTAAGTTTTCAGTCACAATTTAGTGACTCTCAGGACTCTGTGATCACTGTCTCCCTTCAACTTTCCCAACACTAGTTGAGTTGGATAAGCAATGTGATAAGGTCACACATTACAGAGAACAACCGTTAGTTTGACATTCAATATACAGACTGTAAAACACTACTGTATTTTTAATGGCTACTGCCTACCACTAGAGATTTCCCTCTGCTTTCAAGAACATCACTAGCACAAAGAGTTTGAAAAAAAAAAAAAGTTACATTCTCTTGAAAATACTTATTTAACAACAATTAGTAAGTGTACAAAATGGCTTGTTTCTTGCCAAAAATTAAAGGTCTACTTCACAAGAAACCCTCATCCCAGAATTCCTGTGAATTGACTTGCTTTTCACACATAGCACATGATTTTCATGAAGGATCACTTTGCACATCAGTAATTTCAGCTGTTAGAAGGTGTTAAGCACATACAGTAGTCCAAAGCAAGGCGGAAGAGTGAAGGTAGTGAACCACTAGGAATGCAGGAAGAAACTATCCTTAAGAAAGGCTGCAACTCCCCAGCAAACAAACTAAGAAACAAAAAGACAAAAATTATTACCGTCTTCAAATAATGTCAAAGCTTATTCACCAGAAACTCCTTTTTTCTTTTTTTTTTTGCTCAGGGCTGGGCTACAATTGGATATGGATCATGATTCCCTTGCTCATCTATTCAAAAACAAGCAGTAATGACTAAAGGCTAGCATAAGCCATGTCAGTAACTGCTGATCATCAACAGTTTGATGGAAATGCAAACTGGGATTCTAACCCCGCATATCATCTCAAAACAACAAGGAATCTGGATAATATTTCTTAAATAAATAGAAATTTAGAAATAGCTACACACTCTAGTGTGATGCTCTGTGTAAGACTAAGCCACAGTGCACATGACATAGGAGTTAGCAGGAAAATCACTGGCTTCAGTGAAGCCAAGAGCCAGCAGGCCATTAGTGATATCTTCTCCACGGCTGTCAATGTCTGCTGGAGATGGACTTCAATCCTGAAAGTTTATAGAAGTTATCCACTGCTTTATTTTCATTGCATTGTGTTTACTGGTAACACAATGATGTAACAAGTCAAGCACACCTTTCTAGAGGATAATTAACAATGTTATATAAAGACTCAGTAGGGGAAAAGGATATACTGAACATACATTTTTCTGTTAGCAAGAAGCAGAAGCACAAATGTAATCTAATGAAATCATGTCTATTGTTGCAATTCAGAAGTCAGCATCTACCCAGTTATGCAATGTGTATGCACACATTTCAGTTTGATATTAAAATGCTTCATTACAAATAAATTACAGCTAGTGAAAGATCTCACAGAACTCTGCCTCTGCTTCTGTAAAAAGTTGGAATCTAAAACACTTGAAGCATACTGCACCACACAATAGTTAACTGACAGGATTTGTTAATTGTTGGCATTTAGTGGCAATTACTGAAGAATTATGCACACAAGTGTGTTTGTTCTGACAAAAAGCATGGCCCTGGAAACAACATGGTCCAAAAGACAACACAGATCACGACAACAGCTTGTTTCACACCAGCATTTTACACTACAATGTTAAAAAACCCATCTCCCAGAACCACATTAAACGACAGCAAGGGAAAAGCAGATTTCCTCTCAGCAGCACTGTACAGTACCTCTGTAGTTCAAAGAAGGTTCAGACTGAGTTTTTGATGGAGGAACTGGAAAAGGCAGGCAATGAAAGGACAAGAGAAGACATATTAAAGTTTTAATATTGCTCAGTAAGCCACAGTATTCATTCACTACTCCTAATACTTGTGTTCCTAGGACTGTAGAAACAAAACCTTACCTGGTACTAGGCATGCAGAGTTCCTACCAGAAGCTGCTTAGCTGAGAAAAAGTTTGCTCCTTCTGTATTCACTCATGACAGCTTCAGCTGCTACACCAAAGTATGCTAGCAGGTGGCAGCAGAGCTTGCCTTTTAAATACACTTTGCCTTCAGCATTTTATTTCAGGGAGGAAGAGGAAGATGAATATTTTGTTTCTCTAGAACCTGCTCTTACAAAAACAGCTAGCGAGAATGCACTTTAAAAATCTGCCAATCCTTCTCGTAGTTAATGAGCCTGGACATCCTATTCCATGCACAATCCACAAAACAACTATTATGTAGAGCAATGGGATTATTCCATGGGAGTGAAAATACAGAAGGGAGGTAACTGCTTGAACAAAGGGGAACCTTTAGTAATTTGCATATGTATTTAACATTATTCTCACAAAGCATCACAGTGCAGACTAAGAGCAAGGCAAAGAAGGCAAGATCGACAGAATACTGTCATAATGCACTGGCACGGCTGCCCATAGAAGCTGTGGTGCCCCATCCCTGGAAGCACTCAAGGCTAGGTTGGAAGGGGCCCTGGGCAGCTGAGCTGGTGGGTAGCAGCCCTGCCCACGGCATGGGACTGTGACTGGGTGGGCTTTAAGGTCCCTTCCAGCCCAAACCTTTACACCGTTCTATCATTCTAAGATGAGAAATGGCATGCTTAAAGGTTAAAAGAATATATATATATATAATTTTTTTTTTTTTCTGATGCTGAGAGCAGTACACTATCAAATGTTACAGATTTTCTGCTGTAATCTCAGGACTGAAGTATTGTTTTTTAATATACAGAGTAACCACATTCTTTAAACCTTGACTTGAGGATCCACACAGCACCAATACACGACCACCTTCATTTAAAAAAAAAAAAACAAAAACAAAAAGGAGTTTTACTAAGGCCTACGGAACTTATTCTGTATGTTGTTTCTGTAGTATGATGAGCATTTCTTGTTGAATATTATGCATTTTCAATATGCTGCTCCAAAATGCTTAGTTTAATTACAGTAAACATGTCTTTAAAGAAAAAAGAAAAACACACAATTCAGTTATGACACATTGTCAGCCACTTTTTGAGCATCCCGACAATCCAAAGAAAAAGGAGACATTTAGTTTACTTAAGAGTCTAAATTCATTGAAATTTGGCTCTTAACGAGGCAGAACTGTCACTTACTAAAGGAGTTTGAAAGGAGAGACAGAACATCAACATAAATAAATAACTGTATAAATAAAAAATAAGCCTGCTGCTCAATGCATACAAGACGTTATCTAAACAATAAGTAAGGACAGCCACTGTGTTGGAAATGATACTGATTGAGACAAACTGCAGGAGACAGCGCTAATGAATATCACTTTCTGATCTCAAAGGAAGCAGCAGTTGTCAATATGTATTTTTAAAGAACGTATACTTTAAAGCACATAGCATACTTCTGCTTTTTGAATACACAATAAGGCTGATGAAATTCAAGCTCCAGCTGCCACTACAATACTGTCTACAAGAACAGAAATGGAGGGAGAAAAAAGAAAGAAAATAAAACTTTAAATACTAATACCTCTTAGCTGCTTTTCACAAAATCATCAGTAGCTTTGCTCCTTGGAGGAACCACCTCCGCATCCATTCACAGTTAGTTCACCACAAACCCTTCTCTGTCGTCTCTGCCTCTCAGCTTTCGCAGCTGCCATGACGGCAGCACGTCTCCTCTTTCCTTCTCTTTGACCCACAGCACAAGTCAGTGACGGGCCTCTGGGTGACGTGCACTGGTACCAACAGCAGCTCTGAGAGGTACAAAGCTCCTCCTTTTACCCTGCCCTAGGCCAATGCGTGCTCTGCTAGGGCCAGCACAGCTTGGCATTGGCTCCAGAGCAGCTGGGGATGGCTGGGCACACCACTGACCTGGCTGCTACTCTCTGGATTGAGCCCCCCAAAATGCTCTTCAGTTGCCTTTCTAACTGTTGGCACCTAATCTAACCCGGTAGGAACTGCTTTCAGTTGTAGCTCACCTCTTTTTCGGTCCCAGGCATACAGCTCGCTTATTCCCAGCTCCTCCAAGGATTTGGTAAGCTCCAGCTCCTCCCCAGTGATGCTGTCTCGCAGAAGAACAATGTGCTCCTGACTGACTTCACACTTCTCACAAATAGCTGGGATGATGTTATGAAGAGGCACATCCGGGCTGACTCGAACCACTGCCTTCTGTGTCTTCAGGTAATTTACCACCAGCCTCACAGATTTCTGCAGAAAGAAGTACAAATGCTCAGTCCTCACTTTATAATGGCCATGCTCTCTTACAATGAGAATGGCATTAGGGACCTCCATATTGACTTCATCTCTCTTTGGCAACCTTACCCCAGATGCGCACTTCTTGCAGAAAAATACTATTAATGAAAGAAAAATTCTTGGAATGTTTTTGTCTCTAAGGAGACAGTCAGGAAAGTGGGCAAATAAGGAAAAGGAATTAGAGGCAGCCATCAATTTTGTGCCAGTATTTATAAAAAACACCATAAAAATTTCAGCGAACTAACATTTGGAAGATAGCTACTTGTGAATCCTCACAATATTCAAAATGCGTTTATTAATGATCAGTCTTCTCCCTTATCTTTAATATAGACTGCAATTAAAATACTACCAAAGCCCTACTTACTTATACACAACCCCACAAACCTCATTTTATCAACCACTGTCGATTTTCTCATTTAGGTCTTTGATCAAAACCCTTCAAAAGAACAAATTTCCATCTAAACAACCACATGCAACGTAAAATTCTGTGTAAATGCTGCAGTCCAGACTGGCAGCAGCCAGTCCATGTGCAAATCAGCTAAACTAGTAGAGCAGGTTATAGTCGATCTCAAGCCTCCACCACCTGGTCCAAAGATGCAAAGACTGGAAAAACTGCTTGAAGTGATAAGAACAAAATTATGCTTCATGTCACTGTTTTAGGGCTACACAGTACTGACCTCAGGACCCCTTGGTAGAGGTCTCTTTATCTTCTCTTCAGGAACCTTCTCTTTCAGGAGTACTGTCTGTACGTCCAGTGCTCCTATTAAAGTGTTTGGTTTGTAACTCAAAGGTTGTTGAGTTTCCAAAGACTTCAATTCAAGACTGTACTGGGATGGATTCAAGTGATGCCGGCTGCACAGATCAACCAAAAGATCCATCACAGCTTTACTGTAGGGAAGAAGACATTCACTCTTAGCACAGAGAAAAACATCTGCAAAAAAATTCACTCCTGTTTTAATATCAGAGAAAAAAATACAGTGCAAGCTGGGGATGTGTCACAAGCAGGAAACAGTGCTGATGCTCTTAAAAGCTACATAGATCACATGAAAACATCTGGAATTAAGTATATTAGAGGCAGACCACAGTGCTGATAATAACACTAACAAACATAAGCCTAAAGTGGACAAAGTGCATCTTTTCTGCTAATGCATATATTAAATTCTCCAGCTCAAACTTTGCTCTTAAAAGTGAAGACAAGATACAAATAAATGACTCATTCAAGGTACAGTAACCTCCATCATTTTAGTGAAAATCAAAATGGAACACAAATCTGGAACAAGAGATAGACAGGATTTTTTCAGCTTAAAGATTATTCTGAAATTTCTACTGTCCTCCCCAGTTTGACACCAGTAATATTTTCAAGCACAAAACATCCCATCTTTATTTATTTTGGTGAGAATATTAATCCAGTCTACAAATATCTGTTTTCAATTATTTGCTTTATCAAGACCTCTCATTACAGATGTGATTCCCACACCACAGGTTTAAGAAATCTGTCATCCCTGTCTCTTACTCCAAGACACAAAGCAGAGGTAATAAATCAAGGAGTAAGGCAGCTTGATACTGTCTGATACTGTGGAAATAAGCTATGTCTCTCCATACCTCAGCAAGCTCTTCTCTACCAATGTACTAAACATTCCGAGTAAATACCACCCAGGATCAGATAAAACATGTTTATTAAAACTGCTAATGTTTATGAAAAATTTTGATTTCATAAAACTGTATCTGCAATCAACAAAACAACCAAAGTCAAAAAAGTTACTGGCCTTTACTTGAAGACCCTAATACACAAACAGTATTTTTATTCTATTGAAAATTAAACATTTAGACAGCATATTTCCCAAAGGAACTGACACTTCTAGTGTGCATACTGGAAAAGTGTATAAAGATTCAAAACGCAGAGAAAATCTAAGAAAAAGAAAAGGATCCTTCACAGATTATTAACTAGCATTTGTAGCCCAAGAATTGTCCTCAGTTGCAAGCTGCTGGTATCTGGAGACTACTCTTGGGGAATGCCCACCTTCTTTCTAGGTATATGCTTGTTGGCCAGCAACTGGTCAAGAAGTCACTGAAGAATGCTGGATGGCTAATGACAGAGAAATGCAATGAAAATGGAAAACGAGTCTAATCTCCTGTTAACATGCAACAGACTAAAACATACATAAACGCTGGCTCTTGTGTAAGAGATAACAAATAGTTCAAGGACCTTCTTTACAGTTATCTATTTCAAGTTTAACTGAGTTATGCAATGTGAACTGAGAAAGTGACATGCGTTGAACATTTGAAATACACGATCACATCTGAAGAGAATGAAACTGAGTAAGCAGATGAAGACTGAATGAGGAAAACATTAACACATACAGGAGGCATCAGAAAAAAACATCACTGTGGTAACTGCTAACATAAAGAGTATCTAAACAGAAATGTGTATCCAGGTCATTTCATGACATTTTCAGATGCCTTACTCTGGAGATATCCTCAAACTGCAGATGCCTCTATTTTGCAATGACTATTACTTCAAATGTAACAAGCCAAAGAAACACTTATGTATATTAAGTCCAGGCTATAGGAAAATCCTACACACTCTGATATTTAAATAAACATTCATTATGCTGTGCAGTAGTAAGCCTTTTTAAAAGTGTCTGTCTGATAAAGATCTCAGCTTGTCTGTTTACAGAATCATTTCTTTTAAAGTGAAATTTGCATGCTTTTTTTCCCCTCAGCCCTATTACTATTGTTTCAGAGAAAAAAAAAATAACCTGGCAGAACCGCAACACAAGCAGTTCTATTTGCTACGCATTTTTATTTAAAGTGAAATGGTAATGTATTGCTGTAGTGCATATTGTGATAATTCATTCAAGTCTTTTTTATCACTCTAAACACTAAAAAAAAAACACGAAGAAACCTGCCCTCAAATAACACTTTTTTTTTAAAATACAAATCTATATTCCATCAAAAGAGCAGTTTATAATTCAGTACTTTCCAGCAAAATTGTGAAATACGTTACGTAGTAATAGTGTCTCAATTTCAAGGTTAGAAACCTCACCAGCCATTACAGAAAATAAGTTGCAGACTAACACATGAGTTGAAGAAATTCATCCAGATAATGAACAATTTTAAAATCCATCTAAACATGAGATTTCACCTGATTGTTGATTACAGAGCAGGTTAATGAAGGTTAATGAACATTTAATGAAGTCTGAAGCATCCCATCCTGTTTCATACTGCTCAGAATATGCAACTGTTTTTAAGAGTAGAAATTAAACACTATCTCTGAAGCTTTTGAAAGAGTATCAAAGTGCATAGTATGCTTTTCCCAAAATGTAAATTTGGGAAAAACATTTGAACAAAACTTCAAAAGGATAAAAAACTACATGAGGTTTTCAACAAACAAAATTTAAAATTCGTATATTTCCAGAGATTTAAGAGTTGGGAGTCCTTGAAATAAGGTTACTCTTTTATCAGACTTCAGTTTCACCAACTCTACAAATTTTTCTTTCCAAATACAATACTGTTCAGACTGACTTAAAATGGAAGTTTATTTCTCCGTACGTGTAGCACATACAGAAGAGAGCTATTAAGCACAGCCAAAAAAATTGTACTGAATCACCTACTAAAAACCTAGACTTTTTTCTAAAATAACTTCTCCTGAGCTGAATACAGCTCTTGGAAGATGCAAAGCATCACTCCTTTCCCTGCTTCAATCTTTTTCAAGACGTACCAGTACTTGAACCTCACTGTGAGATAGGGTAGAATACAATTTGAAATCCAGGCAAGTTGGACCATAAAAGACTAATTCTAAAGCTGAAACAAATTAAATGCCTCTGTATTCCCAAATGTTCAGCTAAGAAACTTACCACTTTCTCCTTTTAGCAAGACTTAACTGAAGTTAGGGTGGAGACCAAATGCTATGTGACAGATGCTAAACATTCATCACTGATAAGCAAATAGAAGAGCACAGAAGTAAAAATGGAAAATGAACCCAATTTATGATTCAGACAAGATGGTTCAAACAACTATTTTTAGCAAAGGACAATATTTCAACTTCATCCTGATGTCGTACTACTAAGCTGTTTGACATTTGAAATCAAGTCTGGAAAGTAAAGATTAACTGTTGTGTCAGAGATACTTATCAGGCCGAAGCCTGACTCAGTAAGACCACATTGGACCATTTGTGTACAGCTGTTTACCAGTAAGATGCAGCAAAGACATCTAGAATTTCAGAGGCTGAAAAAAGAGCAAGTTCTTTTGGATGTGGCTTGGCCTAATCTCTCTGGGATCACACAGAATATTCTATTTAAAAATACTATGTTGTACATCTAGGAAATGATAAGAAAGTTGTACTCTGCAGAATGACATTGACTCTCCTGCTCCCTTCTACTTTCATGCTACAGACGTTCACAGAGTCTAATTGGAGGAAAAAATTTTCTTTATTTAGGTTAATTTCAAACACATATTAGGAATCTACAATGATGGACTGTAAAAGAAAAATGGTAGTGTAGAGAACGTGAGCTGAAGTCTGAGGCTTTAATGATGTGCAGCCAAAAATCAGAGAACAGTCACTACTATTTTCTCATGCTCCAAATCAGATCAGGCATCTCATGTAAGGGCTAGTTGTTTTTCAACACAACCAGAAATGTGTAAACTAAGAAGGCAAACTATATCGTAAGTCAGGAAAGCATGATAAACAGATATTAATAAATGCTTTCCTTTTGTTATTTTGCTGAGGAGTGTTTGGCTCTCATTTTCCATACTGGATATTCATCAGGAAGAGCAAGAAGAGGCAGAAGACTGGGTTTGTCAAGCCTTTCACATCTTCAGTCTTTCATCATTCTCCATATTGAGCTAAAGCCAACAATTATTATCACTTAAGTCTCTCACTGCAAATTATATGAAAATATTCTGTGACTATATCAGCTTTTTGTTGCAAGTAACGCATGCAGACCAACCTGTCCTCCATTATTTACTGAATGGGACTACTGATTTATCAGGCTGCTGACACTAGAGGTCTGTATCTGCATTAACCAGGAAGCCCTCTTCAGTGTCACTCGGCATGAATGCAGACAGATGCATGATCCCTCTATTTGCAGGTTACCCATAATTTGTGAGAATTACAAATAGGAAAGGTTTCTGGTAATTCTTGTGAGCTTTTTCAATCATGCTCTAAATGTTTAGTCATTCCCTCTGTCAGATCTGCTAACAGTTGGTGTGGATCTGCTGCAACACCATCTATCCTTTCAGGACTTCATGCAGGCCTCATAGAACAACATAAATACTGGTTAGTTATGGATGATATTTTGTAATTGTGTGGGGATACGCAGGTAGATAGAAAGGCTAACAGTTCTGCATGAAAACTTCTACACGTTTTACAACAGAATTCACAGGGATCAGGTTTTTTTTTTTTAAGTTTTTTTTTTTTTAAATACCATTTGAATGCTACACACACTCCTCAAGGACTCAACGCCCTTACGCTGTGCTATGCATTTCCAAAAGCTGAAATAAATTGTTATAAGACAGCAAAAAAAAGAGAGAGACTGTCAGCTGCTGTTAATTTTTATAAATAAAGCTACTTCAAATTTCCAGATTCTAATAAAGCATCTTTAAATAACACACATTTTCTCTTTTTCTTGAACTATCTTCCAAGGAAATTTAATGATAATTTTCTGTCCTCCTGCTGAGATTTAGCAGAACTTTCTACAAAGAGAACAAAGTAAAATTGACAACATACTCCCTTTGCTTACATACAATGAGCAATTTGAAAGAGATAATTTTAACTCTTAATTTGGTTCATTTATAATAACTTTAAGTGATACTAATTGACTACAGCAGTTACATTTTTTTTTTTTTAACATCCTCTAGTGTACTTCATTGCTCTGTGAAAATTCTTGAAATTATCCAAACATTTTTTATTATGATGCAAGAATTTGCAAATTTTTCTATGAAAGAAAAGCTGTTTTCCCAGAGTATTCAAAACCAAATTTTAAAGAATTCAGTTCCAGTGTTGGCCATGACAATACTGAATATTTACAACAGTATAAGCAATAGCAGAATTTTCTGAAATGTCTTTCTATGGTATCACTATACTTAAAAAGAGCAAAAGAGGAAAATAATGTACAAACCGAAGTAGCTCCCATACTTGTTCCAAACTAAACTAAGCTTTTTTTAGTCTGTTGTCTTCTCACTAAATGTTTACCTTTGATGATCTCTGTACTTCACCCAGTTAACAATATCAAGGCCATACAAAAAGATGAGAATACCTGCACTCTCACCAAAACCTGGAGACTTAGGTCAGTCCAACCTTTAAAAATTTCAAATGCTTTTGGAATTTATTTTAAGCTTGCATTCCAAATCCTGTAAACTGTAACCACTGCTAACGTGGAAAATTTTATCATCTGCTGGTGAGGAAGAATAGCAGCACCCATGAGGACACTGTCTTACAGGGGTCATTAGGCAGTGCTTACTTCCTATTTCATCAATTGTTTGGGTAAGGCACCCAATCCTTGGCTTCCAAACTCTTACCCTTCTGACAGCTAATTGCCCATGACTGGCACGTGCCAGCAGCATCCAGTCCCAGCGCTCATGGCCATGATGTGGGAGAAGACCCACTGCCCATGTAAGGCATCTATGACACTCAGGTCAGCAGAGGAGTGTCAGCAGTGGTTTCACTGCTACCTGTGCTGGTGACTCAACATGCAGTCCATGGGGGGAAAGCAAGCAATTCTACAGAACAAGGAAGACGACATTTTCATTGCCTTGAGAGCTTCACACAGACCAGAGGAACAGCCCTAATGAAACGTCTAAGGTTTAATTTTAACACTCATCTCAAAGTTTCAGTACACAAACTAAAAATGGCAATAATGAAAATACTCGACTTCAACACAAGGGAGGAGAAATGAAGGTGAGAAGAAGCACCTGAGACAGACTGTTTATTGTACAGGGATCTTCCCTTTGTTCTTTGCTCCTCTAACTTGCATGTTATTCAAAAGGTCCCACTGAAACACTGCTCTTATAATGATCTTGAAGTGGTTGGTCTTTGTTGCTTTTTTTTTTTTTTTCCTGAGGGAAAAACAAAACTTTTTCTACTCATATAGCATTTATATCTCTCCATACAAAATGCTGCAGAAAGATTAAAGGTCCTTTCCAACCCAAAACATTCTATGATTTCCCTCTTATTAGCTCTCCAAATGGCTATATTTGCCAATGAAATACTAGTTTTTTATTTTGTCACCTCATGGTCTGTGAATTTCATTTCCTGTCCTAGTTTCTAGACCTGTTCATTTCTTTCTCTCATTAAATCCAATCCTCTGCCATAAAATTTTGACCACTAAAAGTGTACTCAAAAAGCTCTGATGGGCACTGCATTCTTTTCAGACCTTCAATATCATTCTGGCTTTAGGGTCACAGAAGTTACTGCTAGCTAACTGTGGCTAAGCAAACACCATTTTCAGCAAGAAATCAGAACAAAGAACGAAGCACCAGAAACTACTGGCCACTGCACACTTCTTCCTCAGCCATCAGAATACACTAATCAACAAATAGAACAGACAGCTATTATCACACCAAGATGAAGTTTTACAGGAAAGCAGATAAACTCACATAGTTTATAGATGTAAAATAAGCACAGACTCAGGTTTATCAGTAGGCAACTATACATCCTCCTACTCTGGTATCTGACCTTGGTAGTACCTAATGACAAGGAGAACCTCTTTCCCTTTCCATGGAAAATCCAACATGTTTTTATACAGAAAATGTTTCCCCAAAACAAGCAGATGCTATGAAAACGTAATATATTTGTGAAAACAGGATCTCGATTTGACGGAACATTCATTTTCTGATCTCATTTCTTGGCAAATGCTGTTTGCAAGCAGTACTGCACCAGTATCTCTGTATTTGAAGATAACCCAGCACAGCCTAAGCCTAGCCCAGCAGCCCTGCGTTAGAAGACAGCGGCCCATACGTATGCTGAGGGTCATTCACAAGAAACACAGTGACACAATAACTGCTAGTTCTTTCCTTTCTCATAAGAAGGGTCCCTTACACATGGGCTTTCAGGACTTTCTGGTCCAGCAGATGCCTAAAATGTAAGGAGAAGAAAGACAGAGGAACTTTGTCAACCTAAAAAAGGAGACACAGATGTCATTAATTATTCTACCGGGAATGGAGGGCTGTAAAAGGAGGAAGCTAGTCAAAGCCTTACCTTCCTTGTACTGTGCTCTTCTGTTCCACCCCACTGGGTAAAATGACTGTGAAATCCACCATTCTATTTATCATATTCTCCTTCATGCTCACAAGGCTCTGATCAGAAATTACGGATGTCTCTGCAGGTGACTTCGGCTCACTGTGAATTCTACTGGCTGCAGAAGGTTGGTTTGGTGGAGGAGGAGCACGAGCTTTCATTCTTCTCCTTAAGAAAAAAAGGCAAGAAGAAAATTAAAAATTTTCCACGAGCAAATTAAAGTATGTGTTAATGAGAAAATATATCTTTCAGCCATAATCTCAGATAATTTCTAGAAGTTCCTACAGCAAAAGCCATTTTTCTTCACCACGAAACTCTTCAATTGAGCTGCATTTTATTTTTTACTTCTTCCTCTCTAAAAATGCATTATTTTTTTAATGATCCGTGTACTGCTTGCTTTCCATGCCCCAAGGTATGAATCAGTTCCACAATTAGGGTATGAAAATAATCATTCTTCTGTCAAGTACAAAGCACATTTCTATGAATAGAGAATCAAAACTGGGTCCAGTCCAGACCTGATTCAAAACACAGTTGTATTTATGTAAATGAATGCTTCCAAGTTAGAGCAGTAGGAGTGGAGCTAGGATGATCTTTAATTCAGCAATGTTTGGGTTCCACAGCACTATTCTAGTTGAAATATTGTCTCTTTCTCTGTCTTAGAGAGTAGGATTAAATTTGGCTCATTGTACTTCATAAGAAAGGGCCATGAGAAGCTCAATCCCAAACGATACAACTTCTTACCACCCAACACAGGGAGACTACAGCTCTTTGAAAGCAGCACGAGGGGAGCTCATTCTCCAGCAAAGACACACATGCTGTGAGCTACATACAGAAAAGCAACATCAGCTTGCACCGACCAACCCACATAATTTGCAGAAAGATAAATCTGCCACAGACTCAAAGTCTCCTTCACTAGCAAGCAGTGTGGTAGATAAGCAACTGCTTTACGCTGTTAACTTCTGAATAGCTGACCTCATACCAAGCATATGTTTAAGATGAATTATTCTGATATTAATATCTGTCACTTCTACTGTTTTTTGCCTAATTTAAGTCAGATTTCAGTGCAACAGATGGAAAAAGGCAATAAAATATTTACTGAAAAATTATTACTCAAACTTATGACTGAATTTTTTAATCTGTCTGTCTTTAGGGTGGCAAGAAGAACATACATTATGATTCTATACATCATTTTCATTCTGCAAAGAACATAAACAGACCCAGAAAAGAAGAACACAAAAGAAGTACTCTACGACTGCAAGATTTAGTGTTCAATCAGACAAGGGCAAAGTTGTGGTCAAGAGAAAATAAATTTCAGAAAAATTTCAAAATCTTACATCTTCTTCATTAGGACACCGATGAAGATGCTGATACTTCAATTAACCTCCTACATGCATAACAAACAACTTTCCCTACAAATAAGCAGGGAGATCTACTGCCATCCTTACCACCATACAGCATTTTTTTTTTCTATGAGACATTTTCTCTAAACATTCCCTTTTTATCCTACACACACCCAATGAGTCATTAAGGCCATCAACTGCTAACTTGCAGCTTCCACTCTCCTGTCATGGAGGTGATGATAAGAAGTTCAAGGTTTTACTGTCTGGCAAACTACCTTGGCTTTCTATACCATTCTGAACCAAACTCCTAATTTATTTACTTGTCTACAGAGAAGAATAAAAAAGAAACTTGGTTTGTCTTTGCTCAAATCTCTTTATGCCCAGCTACAGTTGTTTGTAAGCAGGTGGTGAGAGACATGGCAGTTTTGCATAAATCTGTTTCTTGCCAATGAAGTCATTAATATTACTCAGTTTAACAAGTGCAACACTGACAGACTTCAGATCAGTTTACAAACTACGTAACTCTTGCCCTTCATATCACCAACTGCATCAATGTAAGTAGCTTATACACAGCTTTGCACAAATCATTCAAAGCGAAGCTTGTTTCTGGTTTTTAATGCTTCCCTAAAACGTCGGGGACAATCTCCAGCACAGCACTGCTGACAGTTTACCACAGGGTCAGGAGTAACAGCAGCAGCAAGTGTCCCAAGCCTGGCACAGCCGGTTGGTTTAATTACGGTTTACCTGGACTTGTCAATTCCACACCTCACAACGAACTAGGAAATACAGCAGTAAGCATGAAATTCAAAACAGCTGAAACTGAAGAGACTTGAAGCGTCAGTGGAGAAATGAAAAATGACTGAGTTTCGAAGCTGATGAAAAAGCTGGGAACAAGCTTGGATTGTGCTGTCAGTGTTATTCCTTAGCAGTAACATAAAGGTTCTCAGTTCTCAAACTGAACAAACAGGACCTGACATCTTAACACCAATTTATAGCTCTGAAATGGGAACGTGATTTTTACTTGGTCACTTCTTAAGCGTTCTCTACTTGCAGTGCTGCAGTTACAGACTTTGCACAATGCTACTCTTGCAGGTGTAATTCAGGAGTCAGAACCACCAAAATATGCAGTTACACGCTGACCAGTGAGGCTCACTTTACCTCCATGTAACACTGAATATTATTTTTGGCACTGAGCAGTCAGAGTCTTACATGCTACAGCCTTTCTTGTCTTTTGTTCAGGAAGGACAGTACACACCCGTTTCCTTCACAGAAATGGGAAAAAGGAATCCAGGAAGCATTCCTACTACAGCCCTGTTAACCTAGCAACAGCTCAGGTGACCTCATTTGAACTTTCTCCTGAAACCCTGCAACTGCTTTCCAACACTTTCACAGGTGACAGATCCGACTGTCCCAGTGGAAGCAGGTTCCCTTCAAGTTCACCAAATCACAGACTGTCAGGAATAGGAAGGGACTTCAAAAGATCACCTAGCCCAATCCTCCTGCTGAAGCAGGAACACCTAGATTATGTCACACAGGAACACATCCAGGCGGGTTTTGAATGTCTTCAGAGAAGGAGACCCCATAGCCTCTTTGGGCAGCCTGTTCCAGTGTTCTGTTCACACTTATATTGTGATATGTGGCACAGATCTGCCCTTCCCAGACACTCTTTTTGAGACATTTCTGCATCATTTGAGCAGAAAGCAGCTCAATGAGCCAGTCTACGAACAAAAACCTGAGCTCTTCCTCAGATCTGCAAGTGTCTGCTTCCCAACTCACTTCTGTCATAGCCACGATCCTCACAAAGGACAATACAACATTAAAATGTACTTAAAAGAATGAATTAAAAGCTTGTTTTAAACACATTTACTTTCCATGCTTCATACATAACATGCCAGAAGTATTAACAAAAAATGAAGGAAGTTGCATACCTTAGCCTGAGATAGATTTATACTAGACTTAGCAGCAAATTTTGTTCGCAAACACCTTCCCTATGATCGACATTGAGATACCAGCTAAGCCACTGGCTGCTATTAGCCAGCTGCTGCAGTCAGAAGCAAGAACATTTCACACCTCTGATTCACTCACAGTCACAACCACTGTCTGCATTTCTACCCAGACAAAGAGACAAAGCCGTAACACGCAGCTGATCCTAAAACCAACATACAGTGACTTCTAATAAGGAGTGACATAGTTCACTTCATTTTCTTCTGAGCTGACAAAATGCATATTGCCATGAAATAACCAGGCAGAACACGTAAACAACCTACCAGCACCATTCTCAGCAACAACATCGAAACAGGAAAGGAAAAACAACCATCAAACAGAGCAACACCCAGCTTAGCTGTAGTACATCCTGCAGAAGAAAAGCAACAGAAACAAAGAAAAGTTTCACCAGATTAAGGAATTCAAGACAAGGCAACACAAGCCCTTTGGACCTATACTTTATTAATATATAACTATCAAGCAACAAGATCCAACCTTGACTTTATAATCCCATGCTGAAAAAGCATGTTCGCTCTTTCAAACCAAATTGGTTCAGGGAGTTTCATGGCAAAGATGGCAATGCTATGCAGAGATAAGAAAAAAAAAAAAAGGTGACTTTACTGACTCGACTTTCAGGTGACTGCACTCCTGTACACATATGAATGATGAGACGCACCTCATACTTCAGGAAAGCCAAGGCACAGGTGAAACTGAACTCTGCAAGGGAGGTGAAAAATAGTAAGAAGGGATTATTTAGATACATTGGTTGTAAGAGACAGACGAAGGAGAATAGATCCCTCTGATAAATGAGAAGAGAGAACTGTCTTCAATTCGCATGGAGAATTCTGAGATATTCAACGACTTCTTTGCCTTAGCCTTCACTGGCAGTCGGGCTTTTCACACATCTCATTTCTATGAATCTCTTGGTGGGGATGTGGGAATGACATCCCTCCCATCATAAATTCAGAGGAATTCTGAGATCACCACAATCTCAGCACGTAAGGCTAAATACGTACAAGTCTGCAGAGCCGGATGATATGTATTCCAACGTACTGAAGGAACTGGTTGATGTGGTTGACAAGCCACTCTCCATCATATTTGAAAAGTTGAAGCTGTCAGGAAAAATCCCTGGTGACTTGGGAAAAGGGAAACATCACTCCCATTATGAAGAAATAGGGAAAGACCCAGAAACTACAGACTGGCGATCCTTACCTCTGTGCATGGGAAGATCATGAAACAGATCCTCTTTTGAAGAGATTTTAAGGCACATGCAGACAAAGAAGTGATCCATGATATTCAGAATGGCTTCATGTAGAGCTGACTGTGCCTGACAAATCTGGTGTCTTTCTATGATGGAATGATGGCATTGGTGGAAAAAGGAAAGTTAAGTGATGCAATCTGCCTGGACTTGTGCAAGACCTTTTGACATGGTCCTGCACCACATCCTTATCTCTAAATGGAAGAAATGTGGGTCTGAAAGCTGGACTATCGGGTGGATAAGAAGTTGGTTGGGTGGCTGCAGCTATAGGGTTGCGATCAACAGGTCTACACCCAGGGGGAGGCTGGTCACAAGTGGTGTTCCCCAGAGGTCTATCTTGGGTTCAATGCTCTTCAACACCTTTATCAATAAAGAGAGTGGGATTGAGCATACCCTCAGCAAATTACTGATGATATCAAACTGAGTATGCAGTTCACACAATAGAAAGGGACACCATCCTGATGGACCTTGACAGGTCTGAAAAGTGGGCCCATGTCAACCAAATGAGGTTCAAAAAGGTCAAGTGCAAGGTGTTGAACTTGGGTCAGGATAATCCTCAGTATGTACAAAAAATTGGAGATGAACTC